GGTAGAACAGAATACTTCGACGATTATGATGGCAAACTTGATGAAAAAAGGCCATAGTTGATACACTTAATTGATATACAAATGACTTATCGTTACAATAACTGTTTTAGTCAAGTGCTATATGTAGATAATGTTATTTACCTTTTGTAATATTGGAGCTCAAACATACTAAAATTACAAGAAGAAAGAAACATAATTTATTCTTAATTCCATACACAAAACAGATTACCACTTGAGAGAAAGTCGAGACTGTCGATTTCATAAAGTGTAAATCAAAAAGACTTCCTTACAACACACATCCCTATTACAATACGCAACACGTCTACATCACACAACTTACCAATCTACGTCATCTACACTATCGCTACGCGACAGTTTATACTTCGCGTTATGCAACTTCTGCGTTTCACAGCGTTGATGACAAAAATGAGATGCTGTTTGCATTGCCTTACCGAGCACTCTGTCTCTTGTAAAGCATTTCAGCCATATTTCATAACAAAAAGTAGGGTAACAGATAGTAATTCAAATATTTTCAGATCTATAAATGATGAATTTGTGAAACAAATTCACCTACAACTTATTTACTTTCGAAAGTAGTCGTTATCATTTTATCAGGAAATTGTACGTGGGACTATCAGAGTAATAATTTGCAAATAATTCATTAAAATCCATTTAGGAAATAGTCAATCTTTACCCAATACTGACATTGCATGTGTGTTATTTGTATCCTATATATTTCTAATTTCATTTAGAAATCGATCTTTCGTATTACAATAATCTGTAAATACAATATTTCCTTAATGATAATTTAGCAGTATTATTCATATCTTGCAAATCTGCATAGCAATTACAATCAGCAAAGAAAAAATGATGTTTGTGATATGCGAAGTGAGATAGCTTAAGATAGGAAGTGATCTAAGATCCCGAATTCCATCAGGTTTAGATCAGTGAAGTATCTTTCGAACAATTTTGGTTATCCAAAATTTCCATGTGGTATGTAATGAAACAATACACAGTAACAAATTCCAAGTATTTTATCATTTCTCAGATATTCTGCCAATATTTTTGTAATATCAGATATTAACCAGTTGTACAGGATCTGACGACCTGATTAAAATCTTGTTCTTAATAGCCATTGTGCTATTTTTGCTGCAAATTCAAAAGCCTTTTGACAGATGATGAACATACAATACCAATTTACTAATTCTTGCTATTAAGATGAAGCCAGTAGCCGATGTATATATTCTTTGTCCACTTCCTTAAAGGAAGTCCCTTAATGGTCCAAGTGTGAAATCAAATGGATGCTAATGTTCAAACATTCATCACGTGAAAAAAGATACATTAAAATTAAAGAAAAAACTTTCCTATATTACTGCAAGTACCCAACCAATTATGGTCATCCACAAGATATTTCTTGACATAGAAACTGCCTGAAAAAACGCGGTGACAATGATACGAACAATTTAGTATAACCGATGGTGACAAAGAAATCTCTGACAAGACTTGATATCATCCAAAATAATGCATGAAAACAATTGCCAACTTTTCTCCCATATTTTATTCATTCAAATATCAAACGCATGAAATTCCGGTGATGCAAATTAGGCAGGAACAATACTTGAAAAAAGTGACGTTAAAACAGAAACAGTAACTGTTATGCGGAATATAGAATAAGTTACGCAATTTTTTTCCTAGTGGAATATTAAAGAAGTGGAAAAAGAAGGAAAAAAGGATTTTAAAAAACATACTGCCCATATATATTTGGTTGAATTCATATAAATACCCATAAAGATAAACTATTACAGAAAATGTTTCCTAAGTGTTTCTCATGAAATTGACTTGCAGTTACCTTCTATCCTTATTTATAATCCAACATGATTTACATACGTACAACTAAGAAAAAACATTGGAACTTCTTTTTTCAAAAAATCATTCAGTCTACAAACGAATTTAGTACTTCATAGCTGTAAAGTGATTAAAACTTTTAGTTTTTCAAATTCCAGAGAAAAGTGGAACGAACAAGCACAAAAACCCTTAAATCATAACATGTAAAAGCACGAGTTCCACTTCCAGCAGAGGAAAAAAAAAAATATGTCCGGGAATTTCAATTAAACTGACTGTTGTTGAATAAATACAAGAAATTCCATTTCTTTTCTTCCATCTACTCCTAAGAGAATTCACAAAATTGTGGTTTCAAAAAGCGACATATGTCCTGATGAATGGTTCATCCGGCTTTTTTGGTCTAGAAATGTAAATTTTGGGATGTTCCAGTGCTAAAAAAAACATTTCAAAGACCCAAAGCTCGGCATCTCACAAGTTACCTGAATGATAGACACAGAGTAGCTAAACCCGCAAAATCTGATGTCATTTAGAAAAAGAAGTTGGAAAGAAACATTTCGTGAGAAACGAATTTCAACTGTAAACCAGTCCGGTTAACAGAATATTTAATCCAGAGGCATGTGTTGTGAACAAAGAACTTTGAGAGTTCTTTACAAAGAGAAAATAGTGCATAAGACATCGGAGAATTTTCTGGATTGGAAAGAATTTCAGCTTTCGCGTAAAACCCCGAAGAATGATCGATACAGTTAGCTAAACAAAAGAAAGCATATTGATGAGAATTCAGATACGGAAGGAATCGCCATTTTAAATGATAAACCAACTCTTAAAAATACTAAGCCTTCAAAGTACTAAGAATGCACGAGATGCATTGACACGTGGTAAACACCTGTCATAAAAGAATCAATGTGTTGCAGCCAGAAATCAGAAGAATAAAACCGGAACAGAAGAGATAAGTGAAAAAAAAAAACCGAAATTCATGGAATGTGTTCATTCCGACACGCTTGGAAAACAAATATTTTTTTTATTGGACTAAAAAAGAAATCTTTTATTTTAGCTACCGATTGATCTATCGACCTGAAACATAAAACGGACAAATAAAATATGTATCAGAGTTGCAAAGGGGACATCTCGAAGTCAATTTTCAAATAAATAAATACTACACTGGAATGAATGTAATTTAGCGTATAGTAGAATATTTAAAGTTTGTACATATTCCTCCACACAAGTGATAAACAAAGTGCAATTCCTTAAAACATAGAAAAACCTTCTCTTTAGATGCTACCTGACATTGAATTATTTTACTTTACTTATACCTTCTTTAGCGTTATCTCCGGCCTCTTTCCCAACAGCTCGAAGATACAGTAAAAGTAAAAATATGCTTAAATTAAAAATGAAACATAGAAACGAGACTAGAGATTCTGATGGATGATAAAAGCAGATCCATAAAATAGTAGATAAGGAAGGTTAGATGAAAAAAGTGTGCAGCATGTTGGTCACAGAAAGATGGTGATGATATGACAAGCCAGTTAACAACTGCTAAAAGATACCATTATATGTATATCTGTAGTGAAACTACCTAAGTTCACTGAGGATAAATCATTCCAATATCGAATAACTGCTCTTAAGAAGAGTTATTCGATAAGTGAAGAAAGAGAATGTGATAAAGAAGTTGAAATACTGCAACAACAGCAACAGTGTTCCATTTTCCGATCTTGAAACCGAAACTTCTAATTCCGGCAAGATAGAAGGTACAAAATTAAAACCCCACAATATTTGAGATTGTACTTACAGAATTTCCTTGAACAAATAACTTATTCACTTGCTAGAAAAAGTGGTGACAGTGTGGTCATGTAGCAGAGAAATAGTTGAAATATATTGAAGCAATGACACAGATCTATTTAGCTAACGGATAGACTTAACGGCAAGAGTGCTCAGCAAGCACAGATCCGGAATTCATTTTAGACCTCAATGTAAAACCATTACAAAAGCCACAACAATTACGATCGAAATGATCGCTTTCATAATGATAAGACAGAATGTATTTCAGTCACTGAAGATGATAAGCTGTACTGCTGACTGCTTCTTGACCTCTGCAGATGAAAACCCGAATATGACACAGGCGGAGATAAAAATTTACTTTATCCAAATAAGAAGAGGAAGAGATATTAGACCGAGAAAAAAGTGAGACTACAAGACACAAAATGAAGGAAGAATAAACTTTAAAACTGCCTCTATTTTGAATGGAATTATATGACAACTGCTACTGATAAAAACTGATATAAAGCCTATTGATTCTTGATACAAATAAAGATTTCATAAATTAATAAACGCACCTATGACAATATTCTCCCATACACTTAGTCGTGTGTGACAATTTTTTGGGCTAGGAGAGTTACACCTATCAAGAATACAAAAATATACGTCCATCCATCTCTGTCCCACATCTGCTGTGTTACAAAGAAAAAAATCACCTTTCAAAAAGATGATAAAGAAGATAGTTGACCTTTACTACCTAATTCTCACTCGCCAACCAAATTAATAAACTCATTTTTTTTTTTATATAAAGTGAGAAAGCAATATTTAGTAGCTATAAGCACTTAGTCTTCTCTGACTTTGCAAAAATTTTTTGAAAACATCTAGCGACAAAAATAGCTCCTAAATCCAATGAAACTTTTTCCCCTAATATTACTTAAATGTTTCACATTTGTATCGTTTTGAAAGACTTTTACTCCAGAGACTAGAAGAAATATGAGGGTAACAGCTCCACCATGTCAATAAAGACAATAAGCTCTATTAATAGGTAGCAAAATGAATAAGAAATTACAACGCATATCATATGATGAAGATAAGCATCATTTGTATTAAATAGAATCACAGGAGGATACCTAAGAAAGTTCTCAAAGAAATCTCTACAATGTTATTTCCTTTTCTTTCCAAAAATCAAACCTTCAATTTATTTTTTATTCTCCAGGATAAATGGATGGAGATGCGCTCCCGAAAAAATGCAAACCATGACCTCAATAAATGATACATGAGTGCGACCATTAGATCAACAATTCTAAGTGAACAGAAAATGACCAAAAATTGATGACAGAAACCAAAAGATGTGATAAAAAATGAATCTTGCAGGGAATATTTCTTCAGGAATTATAATTGCAAAGTCATAATGCTGAAGCATTCTTTAGCGTATGATGATTACTGCTGTTGCCATTATTGTGTAAATTCGTCCTATCCATTTGTTTTCTTTGGTTTTTTTCCCAGAAATCTACATGTTTCTTCAAAACCTCCAACTTTGATCTCAAATCTTCATGTCTCTGTCTCGTTTCCAAATATTCTGGATTACGCTGATAATGCATATATCGCATCTCTATTGCTTCCTCTGCCTTAAACATAGGAAAAAAGTTGGGGAAATTACGTATCACTATTATATGCATGCAGGTTATTATTCCTGAATGTTCTGCATCTTAAAATATCTGTAGAAAAATATTATTTCAAAGGTAAAAAAATGCTTATCAAACACAATTAATAGATTAATTAGCAATTGAAATTTCAACTTTGGATTTTTGGATATAACACTATAACATAATTTAGCTTTTGGCACCAGAATCTGGAACGCATACCTTTTCATGTTCTTTTGAATTCTTTGGCGCCTCGTTCATCTTTCTTTCTAATTCTTTGAATTCATTTACTACTGCTGATAGGAGATTATAACATGTCAGATATTTTGGGTAATCATCCTGCATTATAAGCCAACTAATACAAGAAATTTTTACTTTACTGAGATGGAATTGTTAAATGGCCAAAAATCAATGTGAATGTAATGACGTTAGAGTTTCCCTTCCAAACAAATAGTGTGTAACATAGGGTAAAAAATAAAATTGGTTAAAGATAAACTTTTATATATATATTTTATTTGCGATAAAATTAATAAGATAAGCTTATAATTTTAGACCATAATTTAAAAAATTCTATTGGAAAAATTTTCTAAAGCTAGTAATTTTAAATTCAAAAGTAAATTACAAGATTAAGTACCAAATTTGAACAGAAAAAAGGAATAAATATTACTAGGAACTTCAGGTAGTATGCTTCCGCTTCCTCTAAACTTCGTGGTTCTGGGAACTCCTTCAACCAATCACGACTAGTTTGTGGTACGGAACTAGACAATAAGTGAATGTTTGCAGAGTTCGTTGGTTCCGCTGGGCGTTCAGTATCATTCAGTCCAGTAGAACGTTGACTATTATTTTTCTAGATGGAGTGAAAAAATTCAATTATCGTACTTCATAAATAAAATAAAACTCACTTTCAAAAGAAAAACAATAAAAACATGAATCTGTTTTCAAGCATTATACACATTCAGAGTTTCAAAGTAGATGACACATTATTATAATACTGTAATTTCAACAATTCTAAATTTAACTCGACTTGACTAATGTTTTCTAAATATATTAAATGCCAGTATCATAACTCTGAAGTGAAAGAGTGGTTCATGTCACACAAACATGTGGATGCAAGTACTACATAACTTACAATTCATGATAAACATAAGATGTAACGAGAGATCTAAATTTAAGTAATTTTGACATCCATGAAGCTCTATATTTATGACTAAAATTATTGATCGAAAATCAAGCATACCGTTTGCTGTGGATGCATAGCTAAGTTGGCATTCGATGGGTCTTCCGGCGGTGATAACGAGTGCTGCCGTGGTCGCTTAGATGTAATTTGAGAAGGTGCTGTTATTGAATTAGAATGAGCTTTTCGCTTTGAATTTTGCATATTTGAATTATTGAGATCATCATTCGCTTTCCCACTGAAAGGAAATCAAAGATATGCTAACAAGACCAGTAAGTGACAGAAAGTTGAAAACTTTGTTAACTTCCAACCATTTCTGATTTCAAAATCACAAAAGTGATAATATACAACTTGAAAAAAACTTACTCCATCCCCGTAGTATTTACATTACTGTTAATCTCGGAGGGACTTTTTGAGCTAATACTGGACGCCGTGGATTCTGGAGATTTACTTTGCACAACACGAAAAGATGAATCTAAAAATACAAGCATGCTGTTAAAGAGATTTGTATCCTTAATTTTAATCTAAGAATTTTAGAATCTAACTTAGTATCTTTATATCTTGTGCTACTGAATGAGCAATAAATTTTAAACGTTAAAATTCTTAAGACTCAAATAAGAAGTCAAGCAAAGGAAGTTATGGAAATAAACACAGAATTTCGAGAAATTATCCATGCTTTTGGGAAAATAATATATTGCAACAAATGTTATTTTAAATTTCATAGAAGCAAGTAAAATGCCAGACAAAGCTGGAAAGAAACGATAATTTTCCGAGGAATAAATAAAGAAAAACAAACCATCCGTTGATAGAATTGTATTATTAACCACCGTCCCTGATCCAGGTGCCACCATGGGAACAATTCTTGATTTCCGGACTGGTGCGAAATTTGAAATATTATTACCCATACTCCCAGACAAAATCTTTCTTACATAACTTTTTTCATCTGAACTAAAACCCGGCCAACGCGCATCCACCTGTCAAAAAATATAAAAATAAATTAGATATTTTATATATAAAATTTTTTTTATACAACAAGACTAATACAGTACCACATAGCACAGCATCTCCTTTTGAATTTATACACTTCTTTCACACTGTCCTTTAATTTCGAAAATATCTGTAAATAACAAAAAACCTCATTATAAAATGCTTGTTTGAGTTGCAGTCGACCAGTTTCACGATTCGATTCTCCAATCTGAAATACAAGAAATTACACCTTAATTATTCTTTTATCTATTAATCCTTAAACATTTTCTACTTTTAGTAATCTAACACACTAATTCCCTCTCCTTCTTCCCATTAGTGGCTTCTAATAGATTATAACCAACTCTCGGCTTCATGTTTTATTGTTACACTTGGTTAAAAATTAATTGTCGAAAACCTAAAAGCAAAAAACGCAAAGAGGATGAATGATTCTTGGATCAGTTTGTTTAGGATTTGATAAACTCTTGTCGCTATGATGAACTGCAACTAATAATAACAATGTTCCGATCAGTGATTATATAATTGTTTTGAGTTGAAATGTCTATAACGGCACCCAGGCATTCAACCAAAGAAAGTCTTCATGAAAAAATAAATCATTCATATTAACGATTCAATAAAAATACTGATGGCCTCATAAGCATAGAATGAGAAATGTGGATTTTATATTGTGGATTAAAGAAATTCCATTATATCAGTGAAGCTGATATAGAGGAATTGAAATTCAAATCAATTTTTCCATTATATCGAAAACAATACGCTCTACATATCTTAAATCTATCCATTTTATCACTTGAAAAGATGACATATATTTCTGTTGTTGCACTTTGGAACAACAATCGATCAGTGGCGTAAAAAGACGAAAAATGGGATAAACACAATTTCGGTTTGAAAGTTTACAGCTAAAAGAATTGGAAAAGGACATCATCGAGATATCAAAATTCGAAAACCTCCTCAAAAACTCTGACTAAACATGCCATATAAATGAATTAAAATGAATTAATGAAGTAAAAAAAAATTACTTCATCGATAATTTCTTGTATTCGATCAGCATCCTCTTGAGCGATCTCCTCACTCAACGAATCCTTCCGTATCTGAGTAATAATTTCATTTGCTGAAGAAAATCGCCCAAGAATAACCAAATGTATCACACGCTTCCTCAGTGGCCGCCTTGAAACTTCTGCACGCACAAATGATCGTGCACCCGCTTCAACACATATTTAAATTAGATAAACTACTTCAATGGATAGGAATCAACGCACTTAGAAGCCATTGCTCTTTCTGGACAGAAGCCTGACCCAAGAAATCACCATTTTAAACATTCCTGATATGAGTTAATTCATGGATTGATAAAAAGTAGCATCTATTTTCAGGCTTTTATTTCTTTTTCATATTAACTACACAACACCCTTTCTTTCTTGAACTGACTGGCGAGCCTCAAAAATATCCCCGATTTTAATAGCAACATTACCGTCTAGAGATACTCCACATTGATAGTTTGTACCTCCTTCCTTGAGTTATCGTTAAATCTAAGTAAAGCTTTCAACTTTCCTCTGTGCATCAATACATTAATTATATCTTAATTAAAGATTCTATTTTAGTGAGGGAAAGAAACTTATTCAAATATTTAAAATTGAAAACAACCATCAAAAAGGAAATATTTCAAAGTGAAAGCATACCAGCTGATGCATTCGAAGAAACCTGTTGTTGCTGATTACCCAAACTCTAAATATGTTGCATTATTGCTAATTGAAAAAATGAATTAAACAAATTCTTCATTAGAATAAGCAACATTTTCAACTGATTGTAACATCTTCTAATAAACCATTCAGAAAATCATCAGCAGATCTATTTTCAAGATGAATAAAAAGCATAACTGGAAGGAAGAACATTCAGCTGCTAAAAACACTATGATTAAACTCTTTTTTCTCCTACGAAAACAATACTATTCTATTGCCATACCGTAAGGAACAATTATCTAACTCTTACTCTGGATGCAGCACTTTTGCTTGAAGAATCGGAATAATGAGATCGAACGGAGGATGAGGAACTTGGACGTTGAGCGCCAATTGCCAATGGGTTCGTTGCACGCTTCACAGTTACTGGGCGTTGCTCACGTTTATGTCTAAAAAAATTATTAAAAATTTAATCAAATATGAAATGACTAATCTAGTTCACCTGTATATATACGCTGATATTTTATGGACTGTTCAAATCAGAAGTCAAAATATCCTGCTACTATAAAATAACTGCCCGGATTTTCAATTAGTTTTCAAACAGCGTCATTCAACTTTTATAAAGATTACCTCGATGAGTCCTTTATCTGCTTCTTTTTTTCCTCCTCGATAAGCTTTTCGCGTGTTTCTGCAAGCGCCTTCGCGGTGGTTTGCACCTAGAATTGTGTCATTATCATCTCAAAAACACACCTAATAGATAGAGAAGCAATATAATTTGAGCGGTAGAGAACATGACTGGAAAATTCCAGAGAAAGAGATGAAAGAAAAAATTAAAAAAAAATGTTCGCTCGCCTGTATTTTGGAATGAAAAGTAGCTACAGTTCGGTACTTTTTTTGGCAATCATAAGAAACAGCATCAGCTGGTGCTCCTGGTACTTCTTGTATGACGAAACGAAATTTGGTTGCCTGTCCACCGCAACCAATTTCAATAGCACCTCCCTGTAACAGTAAATTTTAAATATCATGGAAAACCTTTTGTTCCTTTACACTTTCGAGTCCCATCACAATCTCATACCTATCAAGGTAGGATAGAAGAAAAGTAGTTAAATCAGTAGATTGCACTTTCGATGTAATAAATATTAATCCAAGGAATTCTAAACAGTAAAGTACTATTCGACACAATATACAGCAAAACAAAACGTATGTATAACTCCATAACATAATTCCAAGTGATTGCCAAGCATCAGTTAAAGCGGCCCAGAAACTAAAAAGGATGAAAAATGTGGAGCACAACAGATTCCTAGTTCCTTCAATAAATAAATAGCCATTTTCGAAACAGTGTTCCCTAGTTAGACTTTGCAGGAATTAGCAGTCAAACAGAGATCCTGTAATACAGGTCTCGTAGAGCCCTGTCTAAACTCCTGGCAACATATTTGGTAACGTAAAGCATTTTCTCATGGATGAAATCATTTTTACAAAATCTTTATACAAACATTGAAAATATAAAGATTAAGCAAATTTTGCCATATAATTTTAATTATGGAAGCATGAGGACACGGCATAAATGACATACCTGTTTATCAATTTTTAACCGCACAGGTTGTTGAGTCTTTTGAGCCACTTTAAGGGCAGCAAGGCTTTCATCAGTAAGCTTAATCATCATAGCTGACTGACGAGTCATTGAACCAGTATCCATCTGCATCCTCAAAACTTCCAAACTGCCACTAGGAGAGGAGTTACGAGGTGATCCTGTCCCGGCCATTAACGTCGATTTTCCAATTTCACCTTTCCCACTAACTGCTTATGATTTTTTTTTCCTGAATCAGTTCGGTTTATTTTGTATAGAAAACGAAATATACCCGTCTCTAGAGAAACATCATAAACAATCCTATATAATATAATAAGAAAGAGAATCAATAAAACTATTATTACTTTGTATTGAAATATCATTTTTTCTACACCACGAATTCAGAAGAACCTATCATTGATAGAAACAGAAAGAAAAAAAAAATGCTTGGAAGAAGCACTGCGTTTGGGATCTTATAAAGATCAAATCATTCAACCTTTACAAATAACAGATGATGGACAATGAGATTGTGCACAAAGTAACAAGATCAGTAAGTTTTGACAAGCAAAAAGATATGAAAAATCACATTATACACTAGCCAACTCATCGAGAAGTGCTCACAAGGTGACACTACCACCACTGTTTTCTTCCACTTCCCTGCACTCCCCAAGATGGACAAATATATGTCCCAATTTCATCCTCCTATTATTCATCCTATTTTTTATACAATTCTATAAATAATGTTAGTTGGAACACTAAGATAAAAAAATGAGTAAGCTGCAAAGATTCAAAATAAAAAACACTTTAAAGGTAATATTTCAAACGTAAAAACACTTATTTTTCTATGAAGAGAAAAAAGAGAAATTATATGGTGCCAACAATGGATTCGGAAAATTAGGAGAAGTGGAGAAATATAAACAGAAGAGGAAGCGGAACGGAACGGAAATGAACAAACGAGAATCATGCAGCTGTCTGTCTCGCAAAGTTATTAATATCTCGTAGTGTTGCTCAGCGAAGATATACTCTTCTCAACAGGAGGGCCAATTTAAATGAAATTAATTGTTTGGACAAGTGACAAGAAGAGAACAAAACAGAGTTGTACTAGGATTTTAACAGTTACACTAAAGCAAGCAAAAATGGTGTATTGCCTGTGCGAATACAGTAGAGGTCAATCTCTTCTGCAAAGTAGTATACTGTTATTGGCCATTGGTGATAAAAATGACAAATGAGCTCATTGAAAATTATCGAATGCTCATATATATAGCAATCGATCGATCGATCGATGAGCAGTCTTCTTCCGTTGAGTGATAGGGCTTACAGACGACATTTCTGTAGCTACATCGCAATTCAAACAACAAGCCGAACATTTCTGTCCGATTGAAATGTCACACTGATGCCGTTAACAGAATGCATGTTTTTGTGTTTCAGTAATTTCCAGCAAATATTTGTTTGTCGTATATTTCTTCCGGCAATGCATAAATAAACTAAATCTATCTCCAACTGCTTCCCGTTCTTAGTCTACGCTCTTGAACTCTGTATAAACCTATCAGATTCAAGCAGCTCAAATTACTTAAGCAATCCTGGTGATGGATATGCAGTTTACGTTAGTTTCATGTAAATTGCAAGGAAGGAATTATGAAATGGAACGATTATTATGCAAATCTGTCCTTCTACATCATATTTAGCAATAAGTTTAAGAGATCAAGCCTGATTCAGAAATAAAATAATTAAAAATTTCAAATGATTCACTAATAATCATTCTAAGTTTTTGTGTTCCGTACTATCGACAGTTTAGTCTACTGCAACTTTTTAAAAGCCAAAAATTCATCTTTTCACTTTAATCTTTTTGAATTACTCGCATAACAGCCCTTTGCATACAAAATGTAGCCATTTTCCTTAATATTAGCTTTTACGCCATCATTTTATTTATATATTTTTGGAAAATTTGCAAGCATCCATAAAACTTCTGTTTGTCCAAGAAAAAAGTACAAAGAATGTAAAATAGCTTAAAATGCTGTCTTCTTTTAATGATCTAAAATAATTAGTCCATGAACTGTTTCCCCCATGCATTCCCTTCATTCCCACCACGCTTGTTTGCAAATTAACAAATCAAATTTACCGAAAAACTGGAAACGAAGTTCAGGAAATTCTTCAAATTTGAAATAAATAGTATCAGACCCATGTTTAATGCATTCACGTAATCCTTTGACCTTTCTTTAACCATCTGCATGTGTTAATTGTTTCATGTTTATGATCAGGAATTATTATAGTTGAGCAGGAATTATCTGATCTAGATGTGAACAAGAAAAAGTGACGATGTCTTCCTCTACTGAAATGACGTAAATGACAAGGAAATATCCTTCTAAGTTTGTATAAGTACCAAATTCTACAAAATCAAAATAGATTTTCCCAACCTATTAAGTGATGGAAGATTTAGAAAGAATTTTGATGGCAGAAAAGAAACGAAGTTCGAGAAATGAGTAATGAACCCAATAAACTTGATTGAACTGCAAATTCTTTTGAATAAGTTGAAATTATAGCTATTTCCTTCTACCTATATGCTGTAATAAAGATTTCTGAATCAAATAGCTTCTTTAATGCCATATTTCTTCCTCTCGAAGTTGAGAGATTTATATTTTCTACTGATATATTACATCAGATGGTTAAAATTCGAATTCTACGATTCTTTTTTCATGGCATAATGAAGAAAAAGTAAAAACATGATAAGTGAAGACGCGCAATTGTCCTAATTCAGTCTCTAATTGAAAGAATTCATTGATTCACAAATTTTTACTTCGTTGCAAAGCTCTTCCAGAAAATGAGCACTTTCCGCGTGTAAAATTCATTAGAGACTAAGTCAGAGGCGAAAAGAGTTCAATGGAGCATTGGACAGCTGTGCCTATGAAATAATTGAATATTATAAACGTTCCTTGGAAATTATCAAAGCAAAGGACATTATTCAAGAAATCCCTTACAATGCTTATGAAAAGTAAAAATACACTCTGAACCTTATCTCCAACGAAAATCAATACTTTGCGTCAACATCCTGATAACGATAGATAATCTCCTCTTTTTTTCATTACATCTGCATTTCGTTTTCAGAAATGATGTGTATCCTTCTTAATAATAAAATTAAACTAGATGTCTTAGGAAAAGTTTGTTTTTTTGTTTTTCAAAGATACTTTATGCATCAACTTCGACAACAGAAATTACGGGACAAAAATGTTACAGTCAACAAAAACATTCCTGATCATGCAGGACCGTCTGTTTTTTCGAGGAATAGTATCGTTGCAAGATGCATCTGTCATATCACCAGCTCTAATGGATCAGGTATGGATGGAAATATTGTATTCACAGAAAATGTTAAGTTTAGCTCAACTTTCTTCTCTAAAAATAGCTAAACAATTTTCCGTTATGTATGAAATAAACATGTTCGAAAATCTCAGTAGAATGCAAAAAAGACTGGAAGAAATGGATATGAAAAACAAACAACCGAAAAGAGTTTGGCGATAGCAGAAGATAAGCAAAAGGGAAAATAATTGAGAGAAAATTACGAGGAAACAGTAAGAAAACATTAAACATTTCCATTCTTACTACAGATTACCACCCTCTACTAAGTTTGCTTGCGTTTGCATGGAACCACACGTTCCTATAAATACACGTTAAACATATATGCCACGCATATTTGTATCATATTATTTCAATGCCTCAGTAAATTATTTTATTAAAACAAGCAAACTGCAAATCAGCAGTGTTCGTTTAAAACAATTCGTGACTGTTAATATACAAAATGATTGGTTATAACTTAGAAATAATAAAGTTCGTCAACAATTTGATTTGTTTGTTGCAACAGCTGGAAGTAAATTTTGGAAATGATAATGGGGAAATCAAGCATCGATCTATGCTCTGGAATTTAGAAGAGAAATTCATAAACAGTTAAGAGCAAATATTCTACATAACATGAGAAAATAGAATGAGGAAGTGAATATAGGACAAATATCCCAGTTATCAGTGAATTATTTTGATGCGAAAAATTTCAACAAATTTAAATAAGACTGGTCTCAATATCCTTTAAACATAGTTATTAATCAAGAAAGTTGAGTGCACGAATGTTATATAAACCGTTGTTCGGTAAAATAGGAGAATGAAGAGAGATGATAAACTTTATTGACATTAGGGAAAAAGATATCGACTTAAATAAAGGTAGAAGTATGGACTATGCCCAGCTTTTATTAACTTCTCAAATTCTGAAAAAAGGAATTCCAAAACTGAAACTAATTTGTTTCATCAATATGTATTTCAGTATTGTAAGAAATGCAGATATGGAGAAGAAACAGAATGGAGAAAAAATTTCCCAACTAGTTTCACTGGAAAAATTTTTGAATCGCCCGTCCTCCTTGTTACTGTCTGATCATCAGGAATGTTTGATATGAGCGCAAACTTCGTACAATGCGTAGACAACAAACTTTATTATAATAATACCAATAATTATTACAAAAAAGAGCTAATATCATACTAACTCTAGGTCTTACTTTTGTATTCAAGACACTATGAAAGGAAAAAAAAACTGACATAAGATGTCAGATCATATAAATGAGTCTTATTAGTAGACTTTTTCTTTTCCTCTTTTATTTCTTCTTTTCTCCTATTGTCTTATTATTCTCTTTATCGTATACTTCTGCTTTTTTTTAAAAGGGTTGAAGAAAGAACGTAGACTTTTTGATTTCAGAATATGAAAGGAGTGCATGATGGGACGAGGAGCACTTAAAAAGAAGCAATTATCAAGATGGACACTGTTGCACCAGAAGACGTTTCTTCTTTTTCGGGAAGTAAAGCTTGAAACAATAGATGATAATCAGTAAGTGCAAGGGACAAGAAGACAGCAAATTAAGCTGATTTTGTCTTTTGTGTATACCTTTATTTACATTCAGATTATATTTGCATTCATTTTCTATTTTTTGATTCAAAACAATTTTTCAAATTATTAAACGTGAAAAATGGAGAACCAGTTTACGTTCATTTTACAGGAATAAAGTTTTTAAAATTCACAAAATAGAATGAAAGCGTGAGGGAGACTAAGAAGCAATATGCGACACAATAACATTGTTCGGTTTAGTAAAAAAAGAAGTTTTTGTACCCTTACTGGCTATTTTCTTTAGCCACTTTTATGAAAACAGTAATAACCTAAAGTGAAT